TACCAGTTTTTTTCCATATTGGAGGAACTCAGTTACTAGAATCACCAAGTGTAATTTTCTAGTTCTCTTTTCCTTAAATAAAAGTTTTGAAATGCTTTTCAGTCCATTTATAATAGTTCTGAGTGAGGGAGGAAAGTATAATTTACATCATATGGCAATATATTCTTGTCAGATAGTTAGTGGTTAGTGCCCATTCTATGCTTACCAAGTGTAATGAAATATGATTGTACTTTTACTAATTAAATCAATAAATTGCAACATGCACAAGAAAAAAAAGTCTTAAATTTACCGACTAGTATTGCCTACTTCAGAGGCATTATTAGAGTGACAGCATTTATACAAAATATGTTAAAAAAACAAGGATGTTACACTTCCAGTGGAAGAATAGCTACAACAAATATATGTCTAATGTAAATTAAGATGTGTTGCCTTTTCAAGATATCAATTCTGTTCATACTATTGTCTGAATAGTGGCCAGAAAATGGTATTTTTGATAGACTTGTTTTTCAAAAGTTGATGAGTAAGCATACCTTAGACCTCCTTAGGATGGTTGTGTTTTCAGGTTCCACCTAGCTGCCTCCTTTAGTTGTATCACCCTTTTACTTTTAAAATGTAATGGAAATCCTGTATAGTGTCTGTAGAGCTTATTTTTACTGAGATTTTTTTATTTAGTAAAATATGCTAATTTTTAAAACTAATAAGCTATACTAGGCTAATTTAAAGGTATTGTATAGTTTTAAGTTTATTAATTTTCAGGATGCATATGAAGGCATGAAAAATTAATAGGCAACTTTCCAGGCCTAGAAAGTCTTTGATTTCTCAGTGAATTTTCGAAAAGTTATTAAAATAAAAGACTTTTTTAATTTATAGAGAGGTTTCCATTTTTTTATTACATGAGTCATACTGTCACTGATTTGTTTACTGTACAACTAGCACTAGTTTTAATCTGTAGGTGCTTTTGATGTTATGTGCACATTTACCTACATTCATAAAAATCCAAAATGACAAACTGAGTACTAATATTTAGAACAAGTGTTATTAATAATATTAATCTATTTGGTTTTAATTTCCAAAAGTAAAATATTTTTTCTAGTCTTGAGAGTAAGAAATATTTTGTATGCAAAGTATTTACATTAAACAATTTTAAATTATTTACATATCAATTGTTTATTATCTAATTACAAATGTAGCTCTGGGTTCTCAGAGTTAAAGTGAGATTTTTGCACATGGATATGAAGAACCTTCTCTCCAGAATTTTCACATGTGTTGTTACTCTACTTTCATATTTTTAAATGTGATAGTGCTCCAACTAAAACATTCCATGTTTTTGACTACTAAATGTTTGATAAATCCATGAGACTTGAACATTTTAAATCAGGTGTGTAAGTCCTGTGTAGTTAAATGTAATTAATTGTGTTGAAACATCATCTCAATTTTCACCATGTTGCTACACAAGTCAAATAATAATTTTGATAACACTATTCTAAGACCACCAGAGTATTGAATGGCACAAGCTGTGATAAAGCAAAACAAAATCTTACTGAATTATGATGTTTTTTTGGTGCATATTTAATCTAATAAAATTATATACAATATGAAAAGTGGAAACCAATTGAACATTCAATAAAATGATAAATGAGCAGTAATAATTTAAACATTTTACAGTATGTTTACACTAAATAATAAACAATTTCATTAAGAAATTTTTAAACTGAAATTAAATTTTGTTGTCTACTAATGAAAAATCATAAGTCTTAATATACAACTTCATCTAAATTCAACATAATGAAAAGATATGGAACAGATCCATTAGTATAAAAAAATGTTTTTCATACAAGTTA